AGCGTCTCTGGTGCGAAAACAGGGAAATTCGAAATTTCAGAATAAAATTACAACATTTGGACCTTTCCAAATAAGTTCTAGGGATCTAGCATCCTCAACAGACAACCAATATTTGAAACAAACCTGGTAGCACTGAAAAACGGTCGTTTCGTCCTAATTATTTGGCTAATCAGTAGCAGTGCGCATCTAGAATGTTCATTGCCCGATTTGTAGTGTGTGCACCAATGTGTTGAGTTCAAATGATTAGCCCTAGCTTGGTTGTTTTTATTTGAGTTTGTGTGTATGTGCACACTTTCTTCTCTGATTCCATACCTAGATATGGTGCATACGGAAATTGAAGGGAAGATTTGCTTCAGAGCTTGCTTCGTAGTTGTTTGTAAATACTGGAATCAGATCACTAGCCAATAAAATGGTGAGTTGTACTTCGAATTTAACGCATCCACTACAGATTTAAAACAATAATACAATCACACGAAGTAAAATAAGAGAGTTAACTTCCTTTCCCTCCCGAGAAACAGACTATAAGTGTAAATATAATGAGCATGTCAAGAGTCACTGAATGAGAAAGCCATTTGATGACAGTCAGAAATAGTTCTAAAAGCCGAGGTTTCTGATGATCGATTCATGATTTCAATGAAACTGTAACGTCCTCTTCTAATAGAAGACGATTATTGGTTACATTTTATTCAGTAGTTAAATAAAACTTTCTATTCCTGTCTTGTCTTCTTGCTCATGTAACTAGTTTCGTAGGGTTAACATGTATGGCGGCGACCAGATCTCAGACATTGTTACATTATAACTAACATATAACATGAATATGTCATCGATATATATTTATTTTGAAAAAATATATAAAGAAATCATTTTATATATGCATATATATTCATAAGTAAATTAGTATACATCTATGCACAGACAAATCTTGTACAGAATTAATTTTCAAGAGTACAATCAAAGTAATATAACCGTTTTTTGTAATATATATATATATATATAAATGTATAGTTTATGATACAAAAATGTGTTTTTGTTTGCTTGTCTCAGTGTAATTGTTTAAAGTTTGTTTGCTTCATCTGCTATCGATCGATTCCGACTTGATCATGTTTCGTTGTATTAATGCTTTCTAAATAAAACAATGAATTTTATGTGTTTGTTTTAAAAATAAGTTTACAAATTTGATTAGTAAACAATAAAAATAATAATTTATAAATTATATTTAATTAGATATTTTCGTGAGGAATCTTCTCCGAGTTCTAGTGGGAAGTCGTGACCAGTGAAGTTCAACCTGCTGGGGTGTAGACAATGACTACCGAAGACAGTGTATGAGGTTGCGCTACTCCGTGAATTGATCAAGCTAGACACTAACAACAACAGATACTGGTTCAGTGGTTCAGAGGCTAAGTGTTCACGTGCAAGACCGAAGGTCATGGGTTCGACTCTTGTGGGGTGCAGGAGTCGTGGATACGCACCGCTGATGAGCCACATACCAGGACGAAACGGCCATCCAGTGCTTCCAGGTTTCTAATGGTGGTCTAACATTGATCGATTCATGGTTTCGAAAAAATGTGTAGCTTAACAATCTTCACAACCCAGTAATGCAATTAATATTGACAAGACAGGTACTTGGTCAGGTATGCCTTTGCAAATCAGCTAAAGTTTGAAATATGGATATTAGGTATGAGCCTAGTATTTTCAAGATATTCTACTTAATAGAAGACTTGATAGTCACGTTTTGGATTTCTGTGAGTTCTAAACTTTACCGAAAACCCAACCTAAGCATGCTTACTTTTCGATAATTTTCCGATTGTTACGAATGAATTAAACGATGTCAAAAGAAATCAAGATGTTCTTATAAAATTGAGGGAAGTGATGCTTCCTTGTGAATCCGGACACGCGTCATCCAACTTCACAAACCAGATACATTTATGTTACGCTCGTCTATACGTATGCTTAAACTATTACGAGTTCATCTTAGTCGAATAACGAGAACAAAACAATGAACCAGTGTTCAGGTAGGCTACTGTGATCCCTTGACCAAAAAGGATCAGCAAGCAGTCTTGATATAGTGTAGAAATTGTATTCTACAAACACAGCCCAGCCAACACACAATGAATCCAAGTACTCAAACTGCGTTTATTTATACTCTATAGAGACGTCCTTGTAACAGTCACAAAATAGCACACTGAAATAACACAGTAACCAATCACAGCCAAGGCTTTTTCTGGTGGGAAATTTGATTTTAAGGTCAACTGATTGATCCATGAAATAAATCCAAAATCAAGATATTTATCAAGCGAGTTACGGGGATCTAATATCCTCAACAGTTTACATCGGGATTTTTGCGACATGGCTGATGTACTTTCAGATTACGAGTGAACCTTGCTGACAAGTGACAAATATCATGAAACCAAAGTCGGGGGTTTTCTTTTGAACACATGCAACTACCAACTTACATCTCAACATGGTTTATGTGACGTCAAGTCATCAAGACTAGTAACCACAGTGCAACTTGATTGATAGAATTTGGCCATCACTAAGAAGGACCTGATATACTAGATTTTGGTCATCGGCCAATTATCAATCAACCATAAATGACTAGGTAATTATGCAAATCAATTTTAGTTGGATAATTTTTAGTACTCATAAGTAGTCCAAATATAAATTTCGAAAAGGATTTTTTTGATTTTTAAATCGTATTTTCCATAAAAATCATAAGTAGTCGTGAACGGGATGTCATTTTGAGTAATAGCTGAATTCTAAAAATTCATCGTTAGGAGAATATGAGAAAGAAAATGTCTGGTCCTTAATTCGGTGCTTGAGTACAGTTTTCAACCAGGTTAAACATAGTTTGTAGAGTATTCAAAATTCGTACAATACGAGGCATTTGTCCTGCTATGCGTAATATTAGTAACTAATCTTAGTTAGAAAAACTGCTGAGAAACAGAATGTACTAAACAGTATGAGACTTCTGACCAGTACTCATTCAAGAACTCGTCAAGGTTAGAACCTAAGATCTTCAGGTCTTGTGAATAACGTTTAACTTTTGTACGTTTAGTGTTACAGACGATTCATGGTAATGTTCAGCCACTTTGCTATGCGATCAATCAGTAACAAACGTACGATAGACATGATTGCACTTAACTGACTATAGTTTCTTATTAGAACTGAAACTAGCTACTAGTGAAAGAAATATTTGAAGAGAAAATTCTAAAATCAGTTTCGGAAATAATCAGTCACTGAACAAATTCTGATAGTTTGACTTATTCCATTTGGCGAAATGTGATGATAATCAGTTTTTGACAATTTATTTTACTGACAAAGGAAGATAGGCTTTTATAATATACTCTCATTTAGGTGATTAGAAGCAGTATCCATCCTTTCAAGAACCGGATACTCCTTCTCACATACAAATTTCCATAAAGACAAACAGATTGGTAAAGATAATGTGATGATATCTATTTGACTCATGTTAAATGATAGGATGATATCAGTAAACGTTTTAACTTAATGACAAGGATTTTCGGAGAGAGTATTCTTTTTGCAGTTGAAATCACGAGATGGTCTTGGCTAGACCTCGAAGCACTGGATAGTTTTTTTATTCTACTGTGGGAATCATCACTGATACGCATCCACGACCTTAGAACATAGGGGTCGAACCCAGGATCTTCAGTCTCGTGTGCGAACTCTTAATCTTGAGACTACTGATTTGACATTCAGTAGTGTCGATGTGATTTTGTGTAACATTTGTGGTGGTGTTTCGTTCTCTGAGCTGGATGTTTTGGTTGTGGAGCTTTCATTGTTCTACTGAACAACATCATCAGCACAAACTTCAGATAGAAGTAGTGAAGTATTCGAGAATTTCTCCACGTATGACCTGTAGCTTGTTCTACTAACCTCGATCTTGATTGGTTGCTGTTGACCTAAAACCTGTCGTTGTTTGCATCTTCGTTTTGATTGTATCCCCCTTTTGATCTGTTTCTTGATCCCATGTCACCTATGATTTTTCTGACTGGTCGATAATTTGGCTTAATGTCGATGTGTTTGCTGATTTATCTGCATGCTAAGTTTCTAAAAATTCTCTAGTTTTCTTTGTGTTCCCCCTATCCAGTATTTCCACATTGTCCCAATCAAATGTATGTCCATAAATGTCGGTGTGTGTTGATATTAGTGAAGAATTTTCATGGCGTTTGACTGCTAATTGGTGTTCACGTAAACGAAGCTGAAGAGGCCGTCCACTTTGTCCTATGTAGTGTTTTTCACAGTCTGAGCAGTTTATTTTGTCATTTTGTCCCTTGATCTACATAGGATTGATTGAAGTGATTCTGTTGGTTTGTGTGCCACACCTATTCCGAATGGTTTCAGTAGTCTTGCTGTATGCTCCGATATGTCTTTGATGTATGGTAGGATGATCCGTATGTTATCGGTTTCTCTACTTGATTTCGCATGTGTTGACGATTTCGGTTGATGTTTTTTGATGAAGTTGCATGGATAGCTGTTCTGTTGAAAAATAGTCATAAGATGTTTTTCCTCATTTTTTAAGTGCTTCACATGTGCTGCAGTGTGCAATCTTCATTCATTGCCCGCAGTGAATAACCATTTTCTACTCAACACCGATCGAACTCCATTGGTTAAGATTTATGGACTGAATTTTATATAATAGCTCCATGAGATGCTAATTCAGTGGTTTAGAGGTTAAGCATTCGCGTGCGAGGTGGAAAGTCCTGAGTTCGGCTCCCGCGTACTAAAGTCGTGGACGTGCACCACGGATGTGTCCAATACTAGGACTAAACGGTCGTCTAATGTTGCCTGGCTTCTAATAATGATTTTAGTTGCGTAAATTCATGCTTTCAAACATGAAAATGTTCTATTCAGTTTATTTATTTGAATAGATATTTATTTATTCAGCAATCATGTTTTTATCACCCAGATCAAAGAGAACATTCATCTCTTCTTTGAGCTTATTTTAGAAAAAAATATTCACTAATTTTCAAATATCATTTTCATATAGAGAATAAAAAATCTCTCTCTCTTACTTGTATACTTCTAAGCATATCTTCAATTGTTGTAAGTTGATTTTGAAAATCTTCTTGTCTTAGTGAAATATCAGCAACTCTTTCATAAACATTTGTTTGAAGCTAATAATAATAATAATAATATAAATTTGTAACAAAATCAAAACACAATTATTTTACTTCAATAAGGTAGTAAATACATACATAGACGTCATGAAATGATATCAGTTAATTAGCTATCATTAGCTATTATGTAACATAAGATAATCTTGTTGGGGATGTTAGATCCCCAAAACTCGCTTGTTAAATGCCTTATTTTGGATTCTACGTTCACCAGCATGGGCTGATCAGTTGACCTTGAGATTTCAATAAAATGGCTGTGATTGGCTGCTGTGTATTTAGTATGCTATTTTCATAACTGTCCCAAGGACGTTTCTATGATGTATAAATAAACGAGAGTTGTATGCTTGATTGTACTGTGATTGCTGGGTGTTTGTAGAATATACTTTCTACGCTTACAAAGCCTTCTATCTTCAGCTTGGGATTCAAGGTAGCCTATCTGGATGCTGGTTCATTGTCTCGTTCGCGTTTATCGACTAAGGTAAACTCGTAATAGCCTCAAGCATACTAAGTGACGAAACCAATAAATCCCACTTGAAGGCGAACTCATGACATTTAAGTTTTGTAGAGATATGTATGTGAAACTTTATAATGTCACACTTTTCACAAAGAAATATAATAATAATAATATTAATCATTTACTGAATCATCAAGAGTAAATGATCAGTGAAACAGCATCCTCTACAACAGTAGGTCTCAACATACACCAAAAGGGAAATCCGAGATTCTCTGATACACAACACAACGTACACAAACTAAATGACACTTGATGGAGATGCTTGGGAGGATGTAAAAACCTATACATATCTGGACAACATCATTGATGAGGACAGTGGATCTGATGCAGATAAGAGAGCGCGGATAGACAAAGCAATAGTTGCACTCAAAACACCTGCCTTTTAACCAACGACAAAGTAACAATTTTAAATACATAAGATGGCTTATGAGTAGTATGCGAAAAAATTCCGGCTAGAAATTTTCTGCTAGAAAGAAGACTGTCAAGAGATTGCAGTGTACAGCGTGATCAGAGTATGACGAAGACTTGAAGGGAAGTTAGAGAAGGAAGTCAGTGGCATATTTGCATTGTAGACAGAATGATTGAAGACGATATGTACCCTGTTTCGTACATCTGGTTTTGACTTTCTCATTTATAGCACTACGACCATGACATATTATGATTTTGTATTGTAGTATCCGGAAGATCGTTGGTTTTACACATCAGAATCATGAATGAATCATTTTTAGACCACCATTCGAAACATGGAAGCACCAGGAGATGGCCATTTCATCCTAGTATAGGACTCATCAGCAGTGAGCATCCACGACTCCTACTACTCGAAGGATCCGAACCCAGAACCTATCCACTGGACCACTCAGCCGGCATTCGATGGTGCTAGGTTCTAAATTTTAATCATTCTAAGGATTTCGCACAACCTCACTCATTATCTTTCATAGGTGACTGCCTCACACTCGACAGGGTTAAACCCCATTGGTGATGTCTTCTTGCTAGAGAACTCCAAGATTTATCTTCCGAAGCTTGTTACTAGCGAGCACACTTTTTTTGATTTTGCTTTTTGGTATTATGGAGATCGTTAATTTTACACACTGAAATCATGAATGAATCCGTTAATTCCTTACAGGTTTGTTTCTTATGGGCTGATCTTACAATGATTCACTTATGATTTAACGCTTATTATGATGTCAAGTTAATTGCTAATTTACAACGGATTAATTTTACTTTTGAATATTACTCATGAGTAGTATATATTAATATTAAAAAACGGACTCAAGATTATTCTTCACAAAACTTAATTCATACAAACTAATATTATGATTATTAATATTTTATTCATTAATTTTATTTTGGTTTTTTCTACTAATGTGCTACTACAACTACTACTCACAAGATGGCTTATAAGTCATATGCGACGAAATACTGCCTAAAAATTTCTCCTAGAAAGAACAGTGTCTAGAGATTGCAGTGCACAGAGTGACCAGAGTATGACGAAAATTTGAAGAGAAGTGAGAGAATGAAGACAGTAGCATATTTGTATTGTAGACAGGTTGATTGAGGCCGAAATGTACACTGTTTCGCACACCTGGTTTTGACTTTCTCATTTATAGCCCTACGACCATAACATATTATAATTTTCAGTATAGTAGCATTGAGATTGTTGTTTTGTATTCAAATCATGAATTAATCACTGTAAGACCATCATTAGAAAACTTAAAACAATGAAAGACGGCCATTTCGTCCTGGTAGGGGGATCCCCAGTGACAGTGCGCATCCACGACTCTTACCACTCGCAAGAGTCGATCCAAGGACCTTCGATTTTGTGTCTAAACGCTTATCTAGGGATTTTGTGCAATCCCACTCACCAAACAGGCTTGAACTCCATTGGTTACGTCTTCTCACTAAAGAACTCCGAGAATGCCTTCCCGAAGCTAGTTACTAGTAAGCACATTTCTTTTGAAATTTTGCATTTCAGTATTATGGAAATCATGAATGAATTCGTCAATTCCTTACAGGTTTATTTCTATTGGGTTCATCTAACAATGATTTATTCTTGATTTCAATATAACACGCATTATTATGTCAAGTTAATTGCTAATTAAAAATTGATTAATTTTACTTTCGTATATTACTAATAAGTAGTATATAGTAATCTAACAAAACAACGAACTTAAGATTATTCTTCGCGAAAGTTGATTCATACAAACTAATATTATTATTATTATTATTGTTATTATTATTTGACTCGTTAATTCTATTTTGTATAATTTTTAACTGACATTATTTCATTTAAGAATATAATTAAGTATATTATTTAAGTAATATATTTATTTATTTTTATATTTTTATGTGTCTGTTCAATACTCATACAATTTTCTGTGAAAATTGTACTCACAGCAATAAATATTACTATTATTATTAGTATTTTTCATAAAAATGTGAAAATACTTATCACACATTACTGGGAATTAATTTGTCTAAAACTAATCCCCAATATTTTTTCGATATGAATTTGGAGGAAAAAATAAGCGGCGACAGTGTGAGAAAGTGAGACAGAGTGTGAGAGAGAGAGAGAGTAAGAGAGAGTAGGAGAGTTAGGTAAAACAAATTTATATGAATATTGCGTGCAACCTGAGAACAATTTTAAACAAAAATATACATATATAATAAGTGTTTTCAATGTTTCAATAATGAATTACTGAATAAAACGAAATGAATTCTTTTGAGGAGGAAAAACTTTTCTCAAAAAATATGAATCTATGTATGTAGGTAGGTATGTATTTCATTGATATTGGAAAAGGAATTCTTTCTTATTTTTAAATACAAGTTATAAAAAATACAATCACGTTAAAAACAGAAAAAAAAATCATTGTCAGAAATTATTGACACTTGAATAATATAATATTTACGTAGTAGTAGTTAGTACAAAGTGAAAATAGTTTTATTTCTAGAATTGTTCTCACGTTTTTTTTCTTTTACAAAACTAATTAATTGTATTAACAATTATGTGTAGTTGGAGATGAAGGCGGTTGCGTTATATATTCGAAGTTGAACTCAATAATTTATGTGAGCTCACCTAATCTGTGACTGTCGATATTCGACATATATTAATAAACTTTGTTTGTACACTGCTTGTCCTGATAACCAATGGTTTATATAATTCTGAAGACGGACACAATGTGTTGGTGACGTTTATTATGGTGCCATATAAAGATCACGAAATCACAGGCCTACGACACGAAAGTGAAAATGTTATCAGAGTACCGAACAGTAAGTGAGAGAGCGAGCGAGTGAGCCACTAATAAAATGATGAGCTGACATTCGAGTTCAAAGCAGCCATTAAAAATTGGTGAACCTGACGCTTAATTTATTGCAGATACATAAAAATGGAGTTGGTTATCCGACCTTCTTTACTTCGTTTCGTTTTGCTTTGCCTTAAAGTCATGCATTCTGTTGTTTATTTGCATAAATGATCGGTTTAAATCCACTTATCCAAGTGATGCCACATTTGGCTTTATATTACTGCCATCGCACAAACGGGGTTCGACCAAGTATTATTTACGGAAACTGAAAGGGAGATTTACTCCATCGCTTGCCGGAGTCTTAGCAGGCCACTAACATAGTGAACCATACTTTGATTTAAACTGAGCCACGACGTAGTAAGCCCAAAATTGAACCTAACGTAGCCACTAAAGATGTAAATTCTCATGACGGAGTTGTGAAGAATGTTGATTTTCATTGCGATCATGAGTAGATCATTGTTAGACCACCACTAGAACTCCTAGGAACACTAGACGGACGTTTCGACCTAGTATGGGAACCACCAGCAATGAACATCTACAACTTCCGCTCCTGGGAATCGATCTCAAGATCTTCAGTCTCACAGTCCGCCAGTCAGCAACAATGTAGAACTTCGTACGTATGTACATCAGTTCAAGTGGCTATACTATATTAGTACCCAGATACAGTTGTCGATTCAAATCACGTAATGGTAGCTTTGGTCTCACATGAGGACGCTTAAACCTCTAGACCACTCGGTAGACATTGAACGGTGTTATTGTCCAGCTTAAACTGATCCATGGTAATGCACGGCTTTATCAATTGTCTTAGCTAGGTAACTGCTTAAACACGATAGGGTTGGACTACACTGGTCACGCCTTCTCACTAGAACCCCAAGAATTCCCTTACGAAGCTAATCACTAGTTTGTAAATCTTATGATCTCACCAAGATTCAAACCATTGCTTTTGTTATCTTTGGATTTTCGTTGCAAGGTTGTGGAGGTTGTTGAGTTTCATTGAAATCATTAATCAATCATTTTTAGACAACCATTAGAAAATTAGAAACACGAAAGGGCCGTTTCGTCCTCGTCAGAAGTGGTTAAACGCAAACCTCGCACGTGGAAATTTTAGGTTTCTGACGGTAGTCTAACATTGTTCGATGAGACTCAACAACATCTACAACGTTATGACGAAAATCCATAGATAACAAAAGCAATGGTTTGATTCTTGGTGAGATCATAGATGTGCAGTACTGAAGAGTTGCAAACTAATACAAAAATTCTTTTATATCGTCCTTGATTTGTTGCAGTTGTCTGGGTGAAATACATTTTCAGATAAAATCTAACTTCACTATAAACATACTTCACGAACTTCCTATTCTGATATAAACATTGTTACTGAAGCACTAACTTTGTTTTTCTCACTGAATATTGATTGAAATATGTCATATTAGTGATACTTACGGTGTGTCTATCATCTCCAGATGAATTAACTATCACAATTGAGTGAGTTTAGCTGACAGGTATGTGTTAAAGTTATAGCATTAACTGATTCTAACTAGACATGAATTAAAAATTAGCAGTTATTCAACGGGGGTTTCATTCTAGTACCGGACTCTTTAGCCGAATATATCCGTTATCTCAATAATAATAATCGATCATGGGGGCATGTGCTTAACATTTGACACAAAATGTCTGATATTTTCAGTTTCAACTCGATCCTAATTCAATGACATCAGTAACTATCTCGTTTCTCAAAAGATTTGTCATTAGACTTGCAGGAATCGTCCGTTAAAAATTACTCCTTGAATAGCACATAATTAGGAATGGTGTAATCAGACCTCATGAAAATGTTTGCTAAACATAGCTAGATAGGAAAGTTCTAGGTTCACCCCATATCGAGGTAATGGATATACACTGATATTATTAACCACCGTTTTGAAGTTTTCAGTTTTACTACCATAATGGGATACGAATAAATTTCATGAAAATGTTTTCTTTCATTAACCGATTCATGATTTCAAAAAAAAGTAACTCAACAATCTCCACAACCCCATCATGCGAATTACCTGCGCTCATTGGTGACTAGCTCCATGAGGAGTCTTTTCAAGTTCTAATGAGAAGACGTGACCAGTGGACTTCAACTCCGATCTCGAGTGTGAAGCAGTGGTCATAGAAGACAGTGGATGAGGTTGCATAAGACACTAAAAATGATTGAAGTTAGACATTAACACAGTCAGATATCGGCTCGGTGGCCCAGAGACTAGCCATCGACCCAGAAGATCGAAGGTCTTGTTTTTGAATCATGCGAGGTACAGTAGTCGTGGATGCGCACTGCAAATTAGTCTCATACTAGGACTTGACGGCGGCCTTTCTGTACTTTCAGGTTTCTAATGGTGGTCTAACGTTGATCGGTTGATGATTTCAAAAAAAGTAACTCAACAATCTCCACAACCCCATAACACAAATTTATTTATAAACGTTTTTCTTTGAAAAAACTTTTTACAGATAAAAATTCCATTTTTTATTTGAAAGTTAACACAAATTTTCTTACTTTAGCTAAGTCCACCAATGAATTTGATTTATCTTGCAATTCACGTTGTTTCACTTTCATTGTTCTCAATCTAAAATAAAAGTGAATTCATCAGAGGGAAAGATGAAAATTTAGAATCAAACAAGCAAGTCTAGTGTAGTTCACATCAACAATTGATGTCTCTCATACAATTCATGAAAACTGGAAAATAGTGAATAAAAGTTTCATCTTAGTTTGTGCCACTCTTCAGATGTGTCCATCCATGATTAAACCTGAATGTTTAGATGGAAGATGTAAATTTCTTAGTTAGCGATTAACTTTTATACTAATAGGCAGGTGTACGGTGGTTTACTTAATTATATACTTACACCTTGTACACCTCGTGGAACGAAGGCTACCGATCAGGATTCGCCATCCAGACGAATCTATCCTTGACTCTTCATTCGAAGTGAGCTCAACTGGTATTCATTCTTTTTATGGCTATCTCTTTATCTTTTGACGTGAAGATTTTAAGTCAAAGTTTGCCTCGTGATGCAGTTGAGTGCTTTTTGTACTGTATTCTATCTATTACTGTGGTGTGAGCTACTTATAAGTAGTATGTGACTCGAGTAAAAACGTAATTTCTGGCAGCAGAAGATGGGGAAAGATCAAGAAAGGAAGAGTTAGAACACAATGGAATTTGTATGAAACGCATGAATAGTGACAATCGATTGACGTTTTGCAACAGGAACAGTCCAGTTCGATATGATGAACTGATATTTTGCAAATTAACAATTTACGATATGGTTTTCCGATTTTACTGAGTAACTTTGTAATTTTCGTTGGATACAGTTCGGTTGCCCCACCTGTGTTCTCGATCGCTACACTACTACCTGACTTCATTTTTGGCTAAAATCTACCGCATTAGGTTGCTGTTGATGATGTCGGGCTAACAGATCAGCACCATTTTGCATAGACAACTGTTAATAAACACCCGTATCTTTCGCATGACAGCTTCCATAGTCCTCCAAGCTTTCGCTCCAAACAACGGGACTGCTTTGACGTTTGTATTGAAAATTCTGAGTTTAGTGTTTGTTGGCAGTTGTATTTAGTTTCAGATGTTTTTCGTTTGTAGACATTCGGACCTTGATGTATTCTGTACTCTCTGTCTTCAGATCTGTCGTTAGTCAATTCATGAAATCGCTTAAACACTGTTTGTTACTGTCAGTAATATTTATTTCACACTCATTATGTTTCAGCTCACCTAGTCATTTAAGTCATTAGATCTCCAGAAACAATCCTTGATAAGCTTGTACATATTCAATCCTAAAGAGTTTAATCCTAGGACAAAATGGCGTTTTGATACTTTCTGGTTTTCAATGGTAATCTACTTACGAACAAATTAGTTGTGTAAACTAATGTTCTCAATATTCTATACTAATAAGTATATTTCCGATAATTTTTCATTGTATTTGACAGCCACAATTACCAGTATCGGTTTGAAAAAATTTTAAAATTCAATATTGAATAGATTTTCCGACACAGTTAATTTACATTTTAAAACAGTAAATCGGGTGTATAAACTAAAACACCGAGTTTTATGTAACATTAGGGAAAAAGGCAAAAAGTAGAAAATGTTTTACCGAATTGGGATAATTTCCTCTTTTCTAAGTTAATTTAAGTAAATTTCCGATTCACAGTACACATCAAACTGAAATACACTATACAAAAGAAACTTGACTCTTGGAATCATTGCTTGCATACCCTGGGGCCATCGGGTAAGCCATGCTGGGGTTAAGAAACGGGAACCAATTAAGGATGGCAGATCAATAGATGAAGTAATGAATCTTCATCAGTTGAGATGGTTGGGATATGTATAACGCATGCCTAACCACCGACTACCTCAATGAACTATGTTTTGTGATGTAGGAGTAAACTGGAAGAAACTTAGGGGCGGCCAGAGCAAAGCATGGCATAAATCCATGAAGTCACGGACAACTGGACTGAGTTATGCAAGTAGGAATAGGCTACCTGGTTGGGCTTCACGAGACTTTAGTAACCAATGTTTGGAAGCTTTGAATGATATGGCTCGAAATCGGTTGCAATGGCGTAAGTGCATCCATTTTTTGTGTTTGCTAAAAATCAAATCTTTAAAATTCCTCATGACTTTTTCTCTCTTCTTAAATTCACTTTATTGGGATATACTAATCAAATGATATCTTCGAACCATAATCTTTATGATTACCGCTAATACTTCAATTACCTCTACCACCATTCTGTTTAAAATCAACAATTTTTATCTCTTTGCGCTAATGTGGTATGGTAACCTTGAACTGAAGTACCTACATAAGAAGTTCTCTGTTGTATCTGACTAAGTGACTTAACTCATTTAAAACTGTAAAAATACACATAATCTTTTTACTGATTATAATAGGCCAATAATGTAAATCCATAAAGACTTCTTAATTTTTAATTTGCGCATCGTTTGAATTATGCACCCATAGGCATGACTGTGTTTTCAATGACTGCACATTTTGGTATGTTGATTGATTGACTTACTTACTTACTTACTTACTTACTTACTTACTTACTTACTTACTTACTTACTTACTTACTGACTTACTTACATACTTACTTACTTACTTACTTACTTACTTACTTACTTACTTACTTACTTACTTACTTATGCACTTATGCACTTACTTACTTACTTACTTACTTACTTACTTGCTTACTTACCTACCCACCTACTTACTTACACTATTCTTAATGTATCTTTTCTGTTTGACAATGAATGTTGAGTACTGTTTACTTAAAAATAGAGTTACTATTTCTGCTATTCTAATTCATTTCCCCTATTTTCAAACTCTTATCATTTGTCTACCTCATCGAATCAATGAAGTGAACATTCTTCAAATAGGTTTAGATTTAATTTTGTTTTTCCACAATATGTTGCTTTTGAATGAAATGTCTTTTTCTTTTGTCATAAATTAAAGCTATTTTTTGTATGGATTACATAATATTTGAGTTGATTTGTTATGATTATCAGATTATTTTATCATACAGTATAAGACAGTTGATTTATTAAAGTTTTTTTTAAATTTTTGTCACAGACCTTAGTAAAAATATTTAATTTACATTAACCTTGAAGTATTAATGCTTCTAAACTATGCATGATTGTAAATAAGAGTGTAATATCATAAGTTCCGAGGAATAAAATATCATTGCATTGTTATTGTGAATCGATCAATGGTATTGTGGTGCTGTGGTGCGAACTACTTATAAGTAGTATATAACGTGAGTGTCAACGTAAAGTCTGGTAGCATAATATGGGGGAAGATCAAGAAAGGAAGAGTTAGAAAACAATGGAATTTGTATGAAACGCATGAACAGTGACATTGCATTGATGTTTTGCAACAGGAACAGTCCAGTTCGATATGACGAACTGTTATTTTGCAAATGAACGATTTACGATATGGTTTTCCGATTTTACTGAGTAACTGTGTAATTTCCGTTAAATACAATTCGGTTGCCCCACCTGTGTTCTCATTCAATACATTTGGTGTCGCTGCCTGCTCGAAGGAAGGGGCTCCCGTGGCCGAAGGAGTTGCAGGACGGAGATTGGCGGAGCTTCCTGGAGGAGTTTGGGGCCACGGTGGAGCTGGTGGGGGCCTGTGGCGGAGTTGACAGTGCTGGGGACGCTGCGGGGAGGTGAGGCGAAGGCGGTACACGACAGCCTGGACGGTGCCACCGAGGAGACGGCGTGGGAGACGGTCACCGGGCAACTGATAATGGAGTTCGACAGTCCAGAGGACAGGGGGGAGGCGCCGCAGAGGTTCCGGTTGGCGCGGCTGTCGGCCGATGGTGACCTGTTGGTGCTTGCTGTGGAGCTCACCGGATTGCGCCGTGAGGAGTGGGCGGGGCACAGTCTTTGGCTT